GTGGCCGCTCCCGGCGTTGCAGCCATGAAAGGAAGCAAAGCGCTTTTTACCGCATCTGAGTATTATCATCATTTTCTTCCTTTTTAGTAAGCTGATTATTAATATTAACAAGGCAAAAAGAGCCCAGGCGCAGCAGAGCAGGCGCAGAAAAGAGAAACCGAGTTTAAGCAGTTAAACTGAGCTAAAATCGCCTGTTGAAAACCACACGGCAGTGGGTGAAGGGCAGAAAACGCTGCCCTCCTGTGGCCGCTCTTGGCGTTGCAGCCATGAAAGGAAATAAGCTGCTTTTTAACGCATCTGAGTATTATCATTTTCTTTCTTTTTATTATGCTGATTATTAATACTAACAGTGCAAAAAAGATCCCAGGCACAGCAGATCAGGCACAAAAAAGGAAACCGCGTTTAATCACCCTAAAGAGAGCTAACGTGGCCTGCTCAAAGCTTGCCCTCCCGTACCCAGCAGCAGCCACTTACCCGCCCACCAGGCCGCTTCCCCATTGACTACCAGGAGCGCTATTGCTAAGCAATGCGGTCACGTGACATCACACCTTACGACCGCATCGCTTAGTGACAGAAGTTCCGGTCATAATTACCCTCACCGAGGGGCTTTTCCTCAGGGACATCAGAGCGTCCGGCAGCCACCAGCTAAAACGGAGTTTTGGAGGGGCAGTTTCCATTCCAGGGATTATGGTTTAACTCCCTTTTCCTTTTTAACTTGGGGCCATCAGTATTATTAATGGCAGTAACGATCAGATCCCCAGATACATTTTCCATCCACAGCGACGTTTCTTAAAATGTTGTCCCGCAGTAGATGCGGCCAAGGTGACCTTTCCCTTCTGACCGAAGAGGCCCCGCTGAGAAGGCTCTCTCACATTAACCACACACAAGCCCAGGAAAGGGAGATGGAACGGCGTCTTTATTTTGCAAAATGGAACAAGGCAGAAGAGAAATGACGACATGGAAACGGAGGGTGGTCACCCCCGCGTTTGGCCTACGGCTTCCTGCTGTCCATGAACGGAGAAGCCTCTCTTCCCCTTCTGGCCCACTCCAGGTCCCCAGACTTGCCCAGCTGGGACTCAGCGGTGGCTCAGTGCAGCACTGCTGGGGGCCAAGGCCTCCAAGGGGGCTGGCATCGGGGCGCCGGCACTCTTCTTGCTGAGCCTCAATCGGATTTCTCTTTCTCCTTCATGTGCAGGAACACAACGCTGAATAAGAAGAGGCCCACCATCATCGAGAAGGCGCCGGCGTAGTACGGATAAGCCGAAGGGATGAAGCGCTCGTACTGCGTGTGCTGGAGCGGCCGTACGGACACCTGGCCAGAAGGGGACAGAGGAATCAGTTCCAAGGCAGGCGGCGAGTGCAAGAGGAGGCCAGATTGCTACCGGACAGGCTGGCGCTCTTTCCCGCTGACTCCGGCTGGAAGGAGGTGAACTTTGGGGCCACACTATGTGCCCAGGTGAGCAGCAGCAGCCTGGCCTACGTGCGCAAGGCACCGTTTCTCACAGCTGTTAACAGCGTCCATAGCGCAGCAGCTGCTGCTCTGCTCGCAAATCTCCAAAGTGCATACGCTGAAAGCTTTCAGCTGTGCCACGGAGACAACCCAAAAGGCCGTGCGCACACAGCACCCATAATTTAGCACTCAGACAGCACCCTGAACCCATCCTGAGGGAGGGGGCCTCCAGCGCACACCTTAATTCCTGAGCAGACGTAGAGAGGGTCAAGGCATCTCCCCCAGCTACTGCAGCTGGTAAACCCTTCAGATGAGGAGGAAGCCCATGAGCTGTGCTGAGACATTGCAGGGACCAAAGAAGAAGATTTCTCAAGAAATCGGTGCCAATACATGTTCCATGCACACCCTGGACAGCAAACCTTTGACTGGCAGCGCATTTCTGAAGCCTCCTAAGCCCCTGGTCGCAGGGGAAGGTAGAGAAGCAGAAATCCTGCCGCCCTCAAAGTCGTGTGGCCCAGACGCAATTACCTGCGTGGAGGAGTAGAGATGTGTGTAGCCAAGACGGTTGTAGTCCACCTTGAACTGGAACACCCCATAGACGTCTGGCAGCTTGAACTGGACACTGGACTTTCCGCCTGGAAGCCAAACACATTTCTGGCTTTAGAGCAATGCAGAGCCGGGGGGCAAGAGAAGCTTCTCTACCCCCAGTCCAGCCCGCTACAGTTCTACAGAAGATGGGACAAGCCACCACAGGCTTGCGTTAATGGTAACTGCTGGGCACCCATGTCATGGACGTGAGCCAGGCATCCCTCGATCAACCATAAAAGCTGCTCGTGGCTGGCACAGGGCACGGATCTTCCAGCTTCCACACCATAACGTTTCATTCTGGAAGCTGCCTCACCTGTCTGCATCCTGCCTGATTGCAGGTCTGCAGGCAGCCAGTTGCTCAAGGCATGCAGCTTTTTAAAATAGAAATGGAGATTTTTTTTGCCAACGGACAGCGCGTGGATGGGTTCTGACATAGCACAAGGAACCGGTAACTCTGCATTTACGAGAACGAGAAGTTAAAGAAAACCGTCTCACCGTTTTTCTTGAGGAAAGTCCTCACAAATGGGTCAATACGGACAAACTCAAGCTGAATATCATCGCCATCAAAAGGGACCCATTTCCCATCAGACAGCTTTTCTATCACGATGCTGTACTCCTGCAACAAAGGGCCCCACTGCTTTGTGAAAAAACCGGCATGAACAACACTGAGCCTTTGTTGCAGAAAAGTTAAAAATCTTACCACCAGGTCGGTGACGGTGTAGGCACTTGGCGGCAACTTCTCGCCCACCCGATGGTGAGACACCTCTCCCACACGCAGGACCCCTTCTTCCTTGAAGACCCAGCGGGACAAGGCCATGGCCAGTTCGTAATTCCCAGTCTGGGGGTACCTGAATTAGAGAAGTCAGGGTTGTTCAGCCTGCTCACCAAACGTTCTTTGCCAACCGATAACCCAGTGCACTTCCGCTGCTCGTCTGGCCGACCCACAAGAGACGCAGGAGGATTCAGCTGGGGAAGGAATGGGCGGAAGGACGCTGGGCTGCATTTCAGGGACAGACGGGCTGCTGCAGGAATACACAGCCGCCGTTCGTGGGGGGGGGCACCTCAGAGATTTACGTTAGCAGGTGTTCGAACCACAAAACGTCCACAAGCACCAGTGAGTGCCTGGCCCTGTTTTGTACCCTTCTTACTGCAATTTTAGATTGCTAGTTAGCTATTTTTTTGAAGTGTGAGGTAACCAATTCTTTTTTCGTTTTGAGATGGATGCTCGAGAGCTCCTTCATCTTCCTCCAGAGAAAGTCAGCCACGGGCAACCCGCCCTGCCCTCCCTGCATCCCAGCTTTGGAGCCTACGCCAACAAGAGTTGCCTGCCTCTGAGAGCCTGCAGCCGCCTTCTGCACAGCCGATGTGAAAAAGGCATCGCTGAAGAAATCCAGGGAGCCGCTGAAGACCACGCGGGCGTTATTCCGGGCCTGGAGGCCAGCGATCAGGAGGGTATTCTTCCCAACAGCATGAGGGTACTGAGAAGAGAGACCTGCTTTTTTACAAGCAATTCTTCCAATGCTCTAATGTTCTTAATGGCATCCTTGTTTTCTAATGTTTTTTTTTTTAAAAAAAGCTACCTCGTGTTGTGCATACATGTATGCACAAACATCCTTCTGTTCCTGAGTAGGAAACCCAGGAATATACTACTCAAGCCATAAGGTTGTCGGAAGGCTATTCAGAAAAAAAAGGGTTTCCTAGCAACATACCACTGGTGCATTGCAGAAGCAGAAGCCGAGGAAGGAAGAGAAGCCTCGAAACCCCGAAGGTCTGGAGGGAGCTCAGCAGGCACAAGGGAGGGGAACCAGTTGGAACCTAACCTCATTCTTTGCAACTGCATTGAGAAGCACAATTCCTACACATACCTGGGTGATGGGTTTGTCAGGAAAGAAAGAATATGAAGTTGAGGACCCAGTCAGAATATCGAGAACCAAAGGGTTGTCAGGATCAGCCACCATCCTGGGGAGAAAATGGTTCATCGGTAACAGCAGACAGCAGAAGGGCGAGTCTCCTACTGCAAGGGAGCACACGGTGGGCGCCAGGAGGCAGAGGACTTACCCAACTCCCCGGAAAAGAATGGGGTTTAGAGGCCTCTTCCCCACAATTGTTGGAGCCTTCAGGAGATTCTCAGGGTCTGCAACAATGAGGGTGTGCTGCAGAAGAATGGAAAGAGACCGCTGCTAAACTTTCACGGCAGCTTCTGACTCGGATGTCAATCATCTCTGGGAGCACGTGGATGGAAAGGGCAGCGGCTAACTGGACCACACGCACTCTGTCCTGCTTACCTGCCCTGGGTCAGAGATGTCGTAGTTGTGATGGTCAATGACAGCTGTCTTCTCCTCGTCAAATTCTATCCCACATTCGCTTCCCAATTCTCGAAGAGGATCACCTAAGGGTCGTAAAAAGCCTATTTGTTACTTGTACTAAAAAGCGGACAACCTTTGCTTTTAACTACCACCTCAGGAGGTTTCTAACACGCTGCAGACTCATTTGCAACAAACCTGCACATGCTGTCAGAAGATATCAGAGGGATCTGGTCTTGCTTTTTTACATCTCGTTTACTTTATAAACGGACTCAGAATGCTAGCGCTACATGGTCCAAGCAAGTCTAACTGCCCGTTCCTGAGCACAGCCATGACAAGCAGTTCCTTTTCTCCAGCAGGACAGAGCTAAAAGTTTTACTTTCCGCAAACTGCTTAAGACCCGGCTGCTCTCCCAGGCCCTGCGTGGGATGGATTTTGGCGCCTTGGGCGGCCTCCAAATCGAAACAACAAAAGCAATACAGAAAACAAATTCGCTTTTAAGTTGAAGACGATCTGCTCCGTAAAGCCCGTTTCACCGACCGATATCCGAACTGGCAGCCACGAGGACGTTTCCACCTCCGTCGATGAAAGCAGCGATGGTCTCGACGTTGATGTTGCCTCCGAAATCTGGAACGAAGCGAGCGGGGTGGTGAGACGCGTCACCCGGCAGCCGGACCGTTTACGGTGACGCGGCGCTCCGAAGCAGCCCTGGACCTTCCCCGGAGGCGACTGACGCTTCCAGCCACGCAGATCGAGCCACGCGTGCTGGTGAAAGAAAGCATCGGAG